CTTTCATAACATGTCAGACAAATGCTAATGGTAGTTAACAAAACATGACTACCGGCATTTTTCACTTTTGTTTAACGTCTTCGTAACATTCCATACACAACACAACAGGCAACTTACTTATTGTTCGACTGTGAAAAAGTGTAATTTTTCCGCTTTTTTAAAAGCAACGAAGACCAACTTCTTATCGTTCAAATACGAAATAGTTCTACTTTGAAGAAAACTCTGATTTTAACGGGGAAAGTAATAATTTCTGACTTTATGCAATCATTTAGTCTGACAGAGTCGATCTGAATCATACCAGTCCCCACATTTACTAACTCCAACACAATAACGATAACTTGGTTGCGTTAAAATTCACGGTTAAGTCTATGCTGGCTTGGTCTATATTTTCAAGGTACAAATGATTCTGTTTCACGAGATCTGTTTTAATCAACAAAAGAAAATTAATGTGGCGGCGTGCACTTGATGACTCTACAACCATTATATAAATCTTACGTGATCATAAGTAGGTTACACAAATATTATACTGTATGTACACACCATTGTATTGACATATAACTCTGTATACAATTGTTTTGCGTTCTCACTGGTGTGTTGAATCGAGCTAAAAATGATCTTTTTTTTACGATTTTATCGTTTTATAACATTACATACAAAACGAATCTTTGATAATGAAACACGTAGCTGAAAAATGCAGTCCGGGTTGGCACGTTCTGACAGTCTAAGCATTGTTTGTGCATTACAGAACAATCATTCATCCTATGAAAGATTCCTGTTACCTTTCATCATTTTTGAACATAATAGAACCAGTTTCATTCCAGGCGATGAAAAATAATATTTTTTAAAGACATTATAAAACGGATTCCGGCTTGCCACATCAGAAGTCACTTCAAAACTTCTTAGAAGGCTATTTATAGCGCGTCAAGAAGTACTAAAATTTTCTTAAATACCTCTCATAAATACCTTTTCCTTTATAACCATCTTCACACCGAACATACAGGTTATATTTTGATAACCTTTCACATAATAAAAGGGGTGATGTGATATGTTATATATCGAAAAAATTATCGAGACAATCAAGTATCTGTAATTTTAAAAAATTGTATACAAATGCTTTAGCTATTTCACACCGCCAGAAAAGTAGAGATTTATTTGCATAAAGCATTATGAGGAATAAAAAAGCAGATGCACCAAATATAGCGACATGCTACAATGCTGTGCATATTGTTCCATTAGCGCAACTACCGCAATGACAAGAAGATTTCTCGTTCGTGCCCATGGATGGGTTTAAAAACTTGACCATAAAATGGGTGCGCGTGGCACAGGATGGAAAGCTGGGAATGCCAGCTTCATTCACAAGTTGTCACTTTTAATGTCTGCATGTGACCGTAGCTGCTGCAACTCACACTGTTTTTCTTGCAAAGTTTAAAACTATATAAAATAGCCGTTACGAAAATATAGGACTCTGAAATCTTTTCTTTTATTTACATTTTGATTGAAGGGGGCATGAAGGAAAGCGAAGTGCGTATGAGCGTATAAAAAAAGTAAAACTTTGATTGTTACAAAATAAGTGCATACTGAAGCATAATGGGGCATGAACAACTACAACCTGAACTAGCAGACTTTCAGGGTGGCAAATTGGGTTTGGTTACTAGAATTTGAGATAAATTATCATATTTGTAAACAGATCATTAATTATTTACTGATTCTTAGATGTGTTGTTGCAACTACCAAAAACAACCCTTTCGTTAAAAGAGCAATCGCTTGTCACATAAACCACTCATGCATTTCAACTTATTATCAAATGTCTCATCCGTTGACAAAATACATTTACACCAAGCAAGTGATAATGATAGATTAATGCAATATTATAGTATCGCCTTCGTATTCAGTCTGCAAGAAAGGCGGTGTACCGTAAAAGAGTCCTCCATGATAGAGTCTGCTTCCCATTCATTTGTACGGATTAGCCCCGCCCTAGATTTTGACCCACTTGGGTCAGGCTAACCCTAGCCATCATACACGGACCCCCAGTTTCGTTACACCGGTTTGTTTGACAGTTCTCCGTAAATAAACACGGTTATTACATAACCCTACCTGCATTGTCTATACTACTGCTGGTCACAGACACTCACAGTGGTCAGTCTAGTGACTTCCGCCTGCCCCAATAAAGTCCACGGATTGTACAACTAGGACCCCGTAACTCGAAAGCATAGCGCATTACCACCTAGCGCAAGAGTCTCAATTCCATAACTCGCCCCATATAATACACTGTAGCCTCTATGTGATATCGCTATTCGGAATGCGCGATGCTTTCGAGTTACGGGGCCCTGGTATGCTAATCACTCCCCCCCCCCCAATGCCATTCTACTATGAATTCCGTTTTCAAATTAAAACCACACTCACATTTTGAAAGTGAGAGATGCCCAGTAGCAGCATATGAATATCACAAATTGAAGCCATATCACTAATCACAATTAAACAGTGGAAAATAATGAACGCTTTTCTATGTATGTCTTCATAAAAAGTTTTTTTTCACTCATTCTCAGAACAACACCAATATATGCATAATCTCACCTCCAAAACATGTTTCCTTCTCGGCCATTTTGCATATACTATATCCACCGTCTGTCGCGTATCAGGAAACTATTCGTCCACTGTCCAGGCAAGGTTATGTAATCGCAGGGTCGTGGGTCGGCTGAACAATATACAGTCATTTAGTCGACTTACGTTTAAACAGCAGGACGGAAGGAAGAACATTGTAAAAGCGAGAAAAGTGACGACTCTCTTTTATTCAAAGAACACGTAGATTATTTCTCACGTTATTCAAAAATAATTTTCTTGCTTTTCTCTGCACATGTCTGCACGGTGACCCTGTGATGGAATGGGAAGTCTACAATGACAATGTTGGTCACTTTTACGTAACCACTCCGGACACTGCCCCTCCTGATAGCAGTAAAGACAATTGATTGTTCTAACCCTGGACACAATAACGTTATTATGTCCAAGTTCTAACCTATACCTTGCTTGCTCTATTCTGACGGACAAAAACTTTGGACCTTGTTGAGACTGTGATATAGTGAAGAGCGTTTGTTGTTAGCGTAGTCACCTCGGAGATGCTCTCCTTAAGCTATTAAATTAACGCAATAGTAAGAGCTATGTTTGTATTTATTTGGGTGCGTGTGGGGGTTGGTTTCCAGTGTTTCACAGTGCAAAAGGAAATGGGAGACGTGGAAATTTAATTTTCCACTTCAATGTCATATATGCATATTTAGGGCCATCTACATGTAAATATACAGCATGAGAAGGGTAAATGTATATTTATCCAGCTCTGTCTTATGACATGACTCTTACTACTGTTTTTATAAAAGTGCGTGAGGAGATCACGTCGACAGGGATACTGCGTACACCTAAAATTTAACAACCTCATTACAACAGTGTCACCACAGGAGGAGGTGACTTGGAGGAATCCCCTGCAGGAAAGCGTGGAATTCTTCTCAGTTCAGTTATGTAATTTTGGAAAATGTTATAAAAACAAAATGTACTTATTCGGTTTGCTTAAAACAGTTTTTTACTGCTAGATGTTCCATGACAGCGTTCCAAGACAAACATCAGTTACAGATAAGCTTTCATTTGGTACAGTTAAATGCCTCAGTTGCGACAGATAAGAAGCTTTGCATTATATCACTGAATAGAGGATATTTTCAAACGCCTGAAGGCACATTTTAGTTTGAAAACAAACTCCGGTTACGTCTTTCCTTATTTTATAAGCGATAAATGGCCATTCACGACAGAGAGACGCCGTGACCAGTCAATTTTTCATTTGATTTTGGGGAGTATGTTGTGAGCATGTATTTTAACTGTTATCAACAGTCGGCAAAACCTAGCCTCCGCCAGATGCCACCACCTAAGTTATGACGTCAATAATGTGCAATAATTTTCGTTGGAACTCTGCGCTGTTATATCAGATGAAATCATGCTACAGTCTTGTCAGTCTCTTTCATCTTCAGAGTGAAATAGCATTCGTTCATGTTCGGATGCATATTTTTTGCAACCGAGGTGCTAACATGGGCTAACAGCCCAGCTTGTATTATGTGTAAGAATAAAGCTGGTGCTTAAACTATTGTACAACAAATATGAATCGGTTGTTCCAACTTATGTAGAAATTAACAAATATATTAATGAAATACAATATTCACGCAAACTTAAACCAACTTTCTATAGTTTGCTGCGCGTATTCTTAATCCTTGAAATCGTACCTCAGAATTTTGATAGGCACGGAATTGTTGCTCCAAAAATATCAGCTACAGTGTGATTTCTATGTTACAGGTATAATACTCCAGCTACCACAAGGTTACAATGAATATTTTGTGGCCAAGGCAAGGATAACTGTCCATAGCGTTGTAGGACTGGCCTACCCATTTCACCTGCGCCTGATTAACATATTTGCAGTATATAAAAATCTGAATATTTCTATATTTAATTTTCATTATCTGAAAAAGTCAACATTTACAGAAGTCGACGAATCCTCGTGACCAACTTTGAATTACACGATAAATCATTTCTCATCTCGTTTTTTCTCGAAGCCGTAGGCAGCCTTCAGCACGGTGGTTTCATCAAAGTGTTTCCCGACGATCATGAGGCCAACCGGAAGTCCATCTGCAAACCCCGCATTGATACTGAGGGCCGGGTGATGGGTGACGTCAAACTGGGCCGTGTTCGACAGCGTCTCATTAGATTTTTCGATTTTTTCTAAAAATAGCAATATACATATGCGTAGAATGAAAACACAAATAGCATTTAAATACCTAAAATAGGTTAAGCCGCAATAAAGAGCATGTAGAATCTATAAATAGAACGTAGAGACTATAGTGACGAAACATTTTATAGCAGTAAAACGCTTTGAACGTCAACGAGGTTTCTTATACACCCAGTGGCGAAATCAGGAGAGGACAAAGCGTCGCATGACGTCACCCCCCCCTTCAATTTTAAGGTTAGTGTGCCTCTTGTTCCTCTCCCCTCATCAAAAATGTACCGAGCAAAATGAGACAATGCCTGACATGTTGACATCTCTTTACCCTAGATGTAGGCTACAGGTAATGATGAAAACGAACAAACAAACTCTCCTGCAGTTTAAAATTTGCCTCGTTTCACTTTGCAATTTTTTGTTTACCCCCCCCCCCCCCTCCTTTGGAAGCTTGCTAAATTTGATCATCGTTACCTTTAATACTCGATCCTTTCGCTGGTAGCTTCTGAGGCAGCTTTTGGATGGTCGGCATGACGAGTACGTCATAGTTGGCGAGAGCGTCGTCATAGGCCTTCCGCAGCAGTCGTGCGCAGTTCATGGCTCTAGCATAGTGGATGTGGTTGTAGCGTTGTTTGGTATACTCTCCGAGCAAGGCAGCCATTTTCAGTGTATCAGATACATCACTGAGATGGGTTCTTATCCCCCGAGCTGTGGCCTGTTGCATGGTAGTCGGATAAAAGCCAGGGAATCCGAAGGCAACAGCTGTAAACAACCAATTACATACGCCATTTTGAGAAAATACTTAAGAATAAAATGTCGCTGTTGCAAATCATTTTAGACATTTATTTGGAGCAAAGATTATGTTTTACCAGGCTGTGATAGATTTTGCACACGTCACTCCAGCATTTTGCCATAACATACAATATACTCGCGTAGATAAATTATTACATGAACAACAACAACAACAACAACAAAAATCACACAAGGTTTGTCTTAGTTTTAAATATTTTGGCAAAATTCATTAATTTTTTAAAATAACAAACATGTTTCTATACACAAAACATTCAAAGTGGGATATAAAACATTCTATACTCAACCTTTACTTTAACTGTTAGTGTCATTATGTACATTCAGCAATCGAAAATTATAAAGTAACTGCTTTGAGTGTGAACTTACCGCACCCCTGCACTATGGTTTCATAGCACCCTTCAAATATAATTGGTCCTGCGATATTCCGACCTAAGAAATGAAGCGATATATTTCATGAATGCATTTGATTCTTCTCACACCAAGGGGTATACTTTAGAGGTACAGATATATCCATACATTATGACAGGGCCTAGCACTTATCTACGCTACATAGACTTTTCTTTCTTCTCATAAGTTCCCCACGAATTCCCCCCTTTTGTTGAGTGACGTTTAAATTACAATGTGAGTGACAGTGTCGAGCGCGGCGGCTTCGTTTAGGCGATTCTCTAACACTATAGTTAATCAAGTTGTCATTCTCTCAGAGTTTACCAGTACACGTGGATTTCTAAACTATACCGCTCACAGGAGCATTTGGGCAAAACACCTCGGCTCAATTCCAATGCCATTTGAGCTATTGGGTACCAATGCTATTCCAAATATTGGGTTCCAATACCATTTAAACTGTTGGGTTCCAGTACCATTCCAACCACTGGGTTTATGGAATACCCAGTTAAATATCTAATGAATAATTACAAATGTATCTCATTTTAAATGCCATTTGTTCCTTGTAAACTGACAACAATCGACCAATGTTCCTCCGTCATTATCACATGTCTTACCGGTAATATGCATGGGGATGCTGACGTCTTCCACACTGGCACCGGCTGCTTTAAAATAATCCATCGATGACCGAATGGTGGAATCAACAACACTACTTTCACATTTGTCAAATCCTTCTTTTAACACTCCCACTTTCATGCCCGTAAGGTCTGAAGTCAGCTTTATTAAATGTAAATATGGTTTAGTGACTTTCAGTGTTTTATAACGAATGGACACATTTTCAAATTTATAAGCAACAAGTTATAAATTTGAAAATGTGTCCATTCTTTATAAAACACTGAAAGTCACTTTATAAGCAACAAGTAGTTAGGTGTTATGGCCTAGTGGTTAGCGCGCTTGATTCGGGTGTGAGGGGTCCCGGGTTCGTATCCTGTAGCCGCGACTTATCATTCTGGTAAAACCAGTACTACCTGTATCATGCGGGGGGTCAAGACCCGTAAGCTTTGAACAGCAATCTGACTAGGAGTTAGGATAACTCTACACAAAAAACCCTACTGCCTTAGTAGCAAAAATCCAGCGGAGGAAAACCGTATACAAACATAGGGCAGGCTCTTTAGTGTGTTCACTCAAGTTTGCCTAGGAATGGTGTAGCCAACTTCAGCACCCTCTTCCAACCCGCAATGGCCAGCGTGGGATGAGTAGGCCTAAAATCCAGCATGAAACGACCAACAAACACACGGCCTCCAGTACCCAGCCGCACAAATGCCCTGAACTTAGGATGTGTTCCTGGTTCAGACCAGCAGAGTGCAGGAGGTGCTAAAAATCTCTGGGGCAGCAAGGATCACCGAACATCAAGACCAGTGAAAAATTTCAATTTCATACCTTACAACATTAGAACCCTGAAGAACAATGAAAGACTTGCAGAATTGGAAACTGAACTCCAGGACACCGGAGTTAAATGGCATGTGATAGGCTTGTCAGAAATTAGGCGAGCGGTAGAACGCTTAATTACCTTGAATAGCGGACATATATTGTACCATACAAATGCTTCAAATGGCCTTCTGATTTCTGATACACAAGGCGCTAAGGGCCCCTTTACGGTCCCCGACGGCGTCCTTTCTGCGTCCCTTCTGCGTTCAAAAATGTGGTCAGGACAATTAAATCGTGTCTCAGTGTAAAGGCGTCTGCGTCCCTTGTGCGTCCTTTGAACGACCGTATCTTGATTTTACCTGTAAAACTGCGAGCAAGCTGCCTGCCTCCACTGTACGTCCCCTGTGCAACCCAAGGCATCCATTGCGATATTTGAGAGACCATTGAGCATTCTTGCTGCGTTCTCTGTACCTTCATCGGCGATCAGTGGCGTCTATTCTACGATCATTCTGCATCCTGCTTGACCGATGAGCGTTATTTGGGCGTCCTTCTCTATATTCTAACTCATCTTTTCATCGGTTCTAACCAGGTCATCCAATAAAGAACATTTCCAGCACACAAAACAAATAAATGGGAATAAACGCTTTAAACTATAGTGATGCAAGGTCTGCATGGACTGATAATCAGCCAGATGGTCATTGTTATCCTTATAAGGATGATGGACAGGGACCGAAAACGAGAAAGTATGACTGACACAACATAGAATGTTTGAATCCGTTTTCAAATGAAGCATTCTGCAAAAAGTTCTGACAATTAATCTTGTAAAAAAGACAAAATATTCGTTTAATAATAACCTCAAAAATGGATCGTTTCATGAATTTTAGGAGAAAAAACAATCGGAGGCTGATATGAGACCACTGTTACCCTTAGAATTCCTTTCTGGTGAAAAATACCTCAGCACGGCCCCGTTTGAGAGTAAAAAAAAATAACGTTCTACGTGTCGAACACTGGGCGATCTTTGAGTTTTCATTCTGCAACCAAAGCGATGCTTGTGCCTCCTTTCTACGACCGCGGCGATGCTTGTGCGTTCTCTCTGCGACTACGGCGATGCCTGTGCGTCCTNTGCGTTCTCTCTGCGACTACGGCGATGCCTGTGCGTCCTTTCTGCGTCCATTGAGCGACCATCCTACATCGCGTTCTCTCTGCGATTGTTTTGAACATGCTCAAAACTTCGCGGCGTCCATGGCGTCCTCGGCGATGCTTGAACGTTCTTTGTGCGACCTTGGCGATCACTGTGCGTTCTTTGAGCGTCCGACGGCGTCCTGGCCAGTTTCATGGTCGCACAAAGGACGCAGAAAGGACGCCTTTCCAGTGTAAAGGGGGTTTAAGCAAGAACATCATCGAGGTAAAGCAAATTAGCGCAAGGGTGGCTACAGTCAAGCTCAAAGTGAATCAGAGATTCTCAATGAAACTCATTCAGGTATATGCACCAACATCAAGCAGACCAGATGAAGAAGTAGAACAACTGTATGAAGAAGTACAACGTCAGTTGACAAAAGACTGCCACTACCACATAGTCATGGGTGATTTCAACGCCGAGATCGGGATAAAGTCAGACGAACAAGAGTGTGCCACAGGGAGAGAGGGCAGCGGAGAGAGGAATGAAAGAGGAGACTTACTGATTGAATGGGCGACAGCAAATAACTTGAAGATCATGAATACCGTCTACAAGAAGAAGATATCAAGAAGATGGACATGGCAAAGCCCAGATGGATGTACAAGAAACGAAATTGATTACATCATGACAAACAGACTGAACATCTTCACGGATGTGAAAGTGCTAAACAGACAGAAATGTCTCGAGTATAACATTCCACTATGTGTAGCATTCGTTGATTATGAAAAAGCCTTTGACTCAGTAGAAACCCAGTATATACTGGCATCCCTGCAAGATCTAGGGATCGAAGATGGATACATAGACGTCTTTAGAGACATATACACCGATAGCTCTGTAACAGTCAAACTACACAAGACCACCAATAAGATCAGGATCAAGAAAGGTGTACGCCAAGGAGATACAATTTCTCCTAAACTGTTCACAGCAGCATTGGAACGTATATTCAGGGATCTAGACTGGCAGGACAAGGGCATAAACATAGACGGTACAATGCTCAATCACCTTAGGTTTGCAGACGACATCATAATAGTAGCAGATGATGCAAAAGACCTCGAAGAAATGCTACAGGCGTTAGCAGATGAAAGCGAAAAAAGTGGGCTAAAGATGAACACCAGCAAGACAAAGGTGATGTTTGGACCACTAACCACCCCTTGCACAGTGAAAGTCAACACCAAAGAGATAGAAGCAGTGGAAGAGTATATATAACTTGGGCAACGGTTCAGCCTTAGTGATCGAACATTGGAGAAAGAAATCCAACGAAGGATAAAAGCAGGATGGGCAGCATATGGGAAGCACAATGACATCTTCAAGAGCAACCTTCCTACCTGCCTGAAAAAGAAAGTGTTCAATGCTTGTGTGCTGCCGGCAATCACCTATGGTTCAGAGACCTGGGCACTGAATGCCTCCATGGAACACAAGCTACAAGTAGCTCAGAGAAAGATGGAAAGAATTATGTTGAACATCAATCCAAGAGAGCGGAAAACGAATGTATGGTTACATGAACAGACCAAAGTTAAGGACGTACTGCTCACAGTTAAAGAAATGAAATGGAGGTGGGCAGGACATGTCAAAAGAATGAAGGACAATAGGTGGACAATCAGGCTTACAGAATGGACCCCAAGGTATGGACAAAGAAAAAGAGGAAGGCCGGTCAAACGATGGAGGGATGAATTAGATGACTACTGGAAGTCTTGGAAGAAGAAACCTTGGCCAAACTGGAAATCTGAGGCTCAGGATAGGAAACAATGGAAAAAGCATGCTGAGGCCTTTGTCCAACAGTGGAACACTATAGGCTCTAAATGATGATGATGATGATGAAGCAACAAGTATACCAAATGCAACCACATTTTCTTATCATTTATCAACATAAAAGAAAAATAAAACAATTTGAATTATGCTCCCTTTAAACCAAATTGATCATCAAGTTACATTCTAATAAGTCAACCTGCGTAAAACAAACAAACAT